CACTATAAATTATACAGCATTATTATAGACAGTATTACTGTTACATAAGTCTTACAATACAATCATACATTGAGTAGAACCCGTTGCACGAAGTCATACAACATAGTCATACAGTGGTGTGAAATACACAACATACAATATAATAATTAACTTGAAGAAACAGCGCAACCATACAATGATTTCAGTTGTAGTAATACATCTCACAAGATTAATTCATACAATACAAACAATATTATGAATGGTAGTAAGTTGCACTAATCAACAGGAAAGACGTAGGAAATGCTTGCCTACTAATATGAATACAAAAATATATGTATTTCATGTATTCATCTTGCTGACCAAAATGCACCAGATTGATTGCACCATTTCACACCAAGGAATTATTTTTTTTCCGTGGGAGGGGGAGGGGGGCATGCCCCGGACCCCCTAGCAGGCTCCATCGCTTCACTCGGCAAAAGTCTCAGACCAAAACTTTAGTTTTAACTATAATATATCTTCAACGAAACTGCGTGTTAAGTTCCGTTGAAGCAGACAAAGTAGATATTATGTATTATTAGTAGTCTATAGTCCATTATAGTTAAGAATATCCCTTCATGTCTCCCTTAAATAAGCTCCCTTTATATATCACAGGTAAAAAAAAGAAATCACAAATGTGATGAACTCCCCACCCCCTCCCCCACCCCAGAGACAAATAAAGCCATATATGTAGTATATACGTCTCTGTCCACCCCAATTATATGTTTATAAACAACTCATTTAGAAAACTGTGTTTGCGGTATATCAAGTTAAATTGATTTGGATGCCGTAATTAGATGCTTTACTGAGTTCTCATTAGGACATATTTTTGCAATGACGTTTTAAAGATTTATTTGTATTTTTTCATACTTTTTTATTAGGCATATATAGGGAATACGAATAATATGTAAGACTGTTATCCATATGTTATCACATATAGCGGGTCTGTAACTTATTATTTAATTGAATTTAATTGAAAAATAATGGACGCAGGCTAAAAGCCTCTAAGTCCATATCACAAAACATAGTATAAAAATATTATATTGTCACTGGTTAACATATATAAACTTTCCCAAAAGAGTTATTTTAAAAGTCATTATCAGTAATTATTGTAAATAGTGTCCTTCAGATGGTTATCCAACAGGATCTCAAAGTCCTTCGTGGTTTCTGCATTTACAACCGATTCCGGTAGACCGTTCCAGATATCAACGGATTTTATTCCTATGATCCCTGTTTAACGCTAGGCCGTTTTTGCTGTTTGCAGTTGTGTTCTTCTTTTTTGGGATATATTTGTCCGCAGTATTATGGAATATACGGAGAAATTTGTTGTACGCTTCTTCAGTATCCAGGTTAGACAAAGTTTCTGTCCATTCCACCTCCCGTAGTTCCTTCTTCATGTTTGTATACACAGGGGCATGGATCGCTTTACTTGTAATATTAAAAAATAGGGGTCTCCTATACTAATGTATTTATTAGTATAGGAGACCCCTATTTTTTAATATTACAAGTAAAGCGATCCATGCCCCTGTGTATACAAACATGAAGAAGGAACTACGGGAGGTGGAATGGACAGAAACTTTGTCTAACCTGGATACTGAAGAAGCGTACAACAAATTTCTCCGTATATTCCATAATACTGCGGACAAATATATCCCAAAAAAGAAGAACACAACTGCAAACAGCAAAAACGGCCTAGCGTTAAACAGGGATCATAGGAATAAAATCCGTTGATATCTGGAACGGTCTACCGGAATCGGTTGTAAATGCAGAAACCACGAAGGACTTTGAGATCCTGTTGGATAACCATCTGAAGGACACTATTTACAATAATTACTGATAATGACTTTTAAAATAACTCTTTTGGGAAAGTTTATATATGTTAACCAGTGACAATATAATATTTTTATACTATGTTTTGTGANGCGTTTTCGTTTATAAAAAATCATATCCCGGAATGTTAAGCTCTGCTTTACTTGGTAAAAATCTATAATTTTTCGGGTAGATTTCAGTTATACCTATCGCGTCTATACCCCTCTCTTTCTGTTGAATCCTTAGTTTTAACTCATCTAATTTGTTTAAAAGACTGTCAGCATTAGTGTAAAAGCAGCTCAAGTTATCGTTTAATCTTCCCGAATTTTCGTTTTGATTTTCACGATTTTTCTGTGCCATGGGGGGCCTTTTACCCTGTGGACAAAACCCCCGGTTTCCTTCTCGTTTCTCTTTTTCGCTTCTCCTCTTAGTGCTGCCTCTCCTTCTCTTTATGAAATATAAAAATTGCTTGAATTGAACAGAGACGTATATATTTTTATCAGATGGCTACTACTTGCAAATGTGAAATCACTTTATTTTCTGAGATATATCATAAATACGTTGTTATAGTATTGGGAGGAGAAATTAAACTAAAACTCGATCCATTTCATATTTCGCGCCTTATTTTTCGTGGATTTCTGATATTTCTCTTGGAAGGCAGGGCAATTCTAGAGGAATTCCGAGTAATTTTCGTATCGTGTGCAAAGTTCCGGAAAAGGTGGCGCTGTTATAGTTTCTATCGTGGACACTGGGTAAATCGTAAACACATGTTTTCTATCTTTCCTGATATCTTGATGACTTTTTCGTCTTGAAATTCACAACTCCTTTTCTCAATCTACTATTTTCTTCTGTGTTAAATGTATTGTTATTGAGGTATGGTGTTGAGATCTTAATGTACATACAAATGTAACAGCATGAAGTTCTATTTATAATTTTGTTCTCGTCGTCCTCGTTCCGGTTTTACTGAAAGTTTTCCACAAATTAATCTGGTTAAAAACCGTTAGGCTGTAAAGAGCTAATCAATATTTCACTTCCAGTAATGTTTCCATGGGAGATGTGTCTGTGACGACGAGACAACAGAATGTTGACCTGTTTTATAATGTTGTGAAATCCGTTGCATTTTGACACATGGTCAAGGGAGACAACACCGTTTTATTGTTCTACGTTGTATGCTCATTTCTGTTCATTTAGACTTGATAATCCGACAGCTGATGTTTCACCGCTAGAAACATGGTTCTTTTGGCCACAGAGTAATGTAAAGCTGAACAATTTACACTAAGAATTCATTTTGATGACGATATGTTAATCCACAGGAGTCTGACGTTTAATCAATATAAGTATAACGGTGTATACTGTACAGTATACAAAAAAATATAGACTTTTTTAAATTTTATTTATATAGACTGTTATATACTTATATTGATTAAACGTCCGACTCCTTTGGTTAATCTATGTCGTTGAAGTGCATGTCAATGACTTGTGTGATTGTAACTGATAGTTTCGCCCTAAATCCTGTTCGAGCTAAGGTTCGTTTCGCCCTAAATCCTGTTCGAGCTAAGGTTCGTTTCGCCCTAAATCCTGTTCGCCCTAGCTAGGTTGATTCGCCTTAAAAAAATAATTTATACGCTAATATAATAATTAATATTAAAATATATAAACTAAACTTGTTGATAACTTTCAAAAGTATTTTATTGACAATACATGTATAATACAAACATATATGTTAAAATTAAAGAAGATGCTAAAATTGATTTTAATGATATGGAAGATTAAGAAGACTTAATTGGTGACTTAAAAATACTAAAATTGAAAGAAAATACCAAACAATGTTTAAAATTTTAGGGCGAAACAACCAGGAACCCATATGCATGTGATCAACCATCACATACACTAGATATGTACATAATCAGTGGCAGGTCATTTTACTATATAACCTGTTTGCCTGAGAAATCAGTGAATTTCTTTCCGAAAATGCTATTGCAAAAGAATCACTCAGCAGTGCAACAGTAAATTTGACTGGCTTTAAAGTCTAGTGTCTCTGTAAATCTTCAAAGGACAGGTATCAGAGAAGCGATTAGTCAGTTTCTTTTAATTGAAACTGTTCAAATAGCGAACCATGTATCTTCAAATAATCCCAGAATGCAGAGCACATAACCCTGTTGTTTAGTGGGTGGAGACGTTGAAAAAATAATGATTTCTGCTACATATTTATTACATTTTTCTCTATAATGACATGGGCTTCTTTGACCAGACATCCTCACTGCTCCAGAGGTTACGCTCGCTTATATACAATTACGTTGTCTGCACCCATCGAAAGAATCTTACAGTTGCGTAATGGTAAAATTGACCGGCTTTGAAGTCGGGTGATGCTCCTCTGTAATCTTCTAAGGACAGGTATCACCTAGGGATTGGTCAGTGATTTTACGTAGACTAATCAAATAGCTAGCCTTGTTCCTTCAAATTTGCTCAAACCCTGTTTACTAAAGAGCATTTATCAAAAGTAAAGAAACCGCAACCAATAAATGAATAAAATAAACTGAGAAATTTTTGCAGTCCTGTTTTGGTTTTACATGGAGAGTACACTTTTGAGTTGTATGTTTCAGGAGCAGTAATAAGAAGTTTGTAAGATTCTGAAAGCAAGATGGCTCGTGGACAACAGAAAATTCAGGCACAAATGAAAAATGCTGAGAAGCAGGCAAAATTGAAGAAGATGCAGGGAGCAGATTCAAAGAAGGCTGCTGCCGCAGCACTGGTCTACAAGTGTACTGTGTGTATGGTAGGTTGCATCCAGCAGTTTCAGAAGTAAACAATCTTTCCCTTGAATTGAGAGAGTCAAAACACATGTATATAGTAGCCAGGGCCCACTTGTATAAAACATCTCAAAGTTAAGGAAAATCTCAAGCAATGTATTGTCTATGGGAAATCTTAGACCTGAGGAAATCTCAAGAGTTGAGATGTTTTATACAAGTGGGCCCAGGTCTTTTTTTCAAATCCCAAAGTCTAGAGGTAATTTTTACACCCCTGCATACCTGTCATTTAAATTCTTGATCTACGTATCCAATTCAAATTACTAGTTTTAATTGGATTTATAGGATCTTACATAAGTTTCTATTTCATATGAGATTTATGAAACGAGTCGAAGAATTTTTCACTTTAGCTGATCTCTGGAGAGCTAAAATTAAAAATTTGTGACGAGTTTTATAAATTTCATATGAAATGAAAACGTGTGTAAGATTCTTTTTATCACATAATCAAGATTTGTGGCATTTATTCATGTAAAACGACGTTTTCCATGCAACCTTGAAATGTAAAAAGCCGTCATTTCGACTCCAGTGTGTAAGTCTGTGACGTCATATACATGTACTTGTTCTAGGCGTGACGTCACAATTGAAACGATTGAAACTTACAACCACAGTGCCAATAGATCATATTAAATGGGTTAATACTCTAAAAAATATGACATGGGTATAGTCACTGGATAACACAGTACATTATGTTAAATATAGATTTCATTTCACCATATTTTATTGAGTAAGCAATAGGATTGAAATTTGAACAGCTGGCTAGGCCTATATAAGGTCTCTCCTGAAAGATGTATAGATCTAGACGCAGCAAATGATTCTCCAAGGGGCAACTGTCATGTAGTGATTCTTCATGTACAAGGGATTAATGCAAGAATAGAAAGTTAGTACCTTTTTGTAATAGGGGAAAATATGCACTATAGTTAGTATAGGTGCCTGACCAGTGTCCAACGACGGCTGCAGGCCAGAGACAGGGAAAAGTATGAGGGGGGGGGGGGCATGGATCATCTTTAATTTTTGCTTCTCGCTGTTCATCATAGATGCTTCAAATTAACCACTGGATATGCATTAGAATAAAGTGTTTGTGTGACTGTTATGATTTTGTTTACCTTGGACAGGTCTAGCTAGCTGTAAACAGTGTTGTAAAATATCAGCAACAACAATTAACACGACCGCATGCAATAATCACTCAGTCGTGGAACTGACAGAAAATAAAAACAAATTGGAACCAAGATAGATATTCATGTGGTAGTATATCAGTTTCAAGTTGAGGAATTTTTAACTGAGGAAATTAAAGCAGAAACGGGAAAATAATTCCAAAATTGGAGAGGAGAATTGGTCCATATTCAGCCATAAAAAAGGCCTGTACATATCCATGTGTACATAATGACTATTCCGTCTTTTCGTATTGCAGAGTTATCTGCTCTTGTGAGAAAGTATTGATTGTTACATCATTTGTTTGTGAGAGTAACGTCATCAATTATTGAGAAAACGACGTAATTTTCTCACACAAACCAATGACGTAACGATCAATACCTGCTCACAAGAGAAGATAACTCTGCAATACGCAAAGACGGAATAGTAATGACTCAAGTTAATATGTTCCATTAATATTTTCTTTCAGGGACTTTCCAAGATTGTATCTTTCGATTCTTTAATTTTCAATAATTTTCCAGAACTGTCCAAAAAGGTGTCTGGACCTGAATGCATCACTATATTCTATAATTTCAATAAAAAATTACAAGATTTTGGTTATTAAAGAACAAGATTAAAAGTATTAACATATATATATTCATCCTGGTACTTTGTTACATACAAATGACTGATATATATGACTTTCTATGTGATTCAGATTGATTAAGAATGATGGTATGCGGACCCAATCCTTCAGATAAGCAAAAGATTATAAGACTCTTTCATGCCCAGGGGTGTAGGTTAGGAAAATTCCACCGAAGGGTTTTCAAATTCTATAAAATCTGAGGCTTTGCCAAAGGGTTTTGTCAAATTTGAAAATCCTGAGGCTCAGAAACCATGAAAATACATTTGGACTGGCTACCATTTTGAAAATATCATATTTTTTTTTCTCTGAGTTTATTTTTAGAAAAAAACAAATATGTTTGCCAGATTTATTATACCCCATATAAGCAAACACAGTTTGCGATGAAAAACTAATCTCATCTTTCTCATATGAGTATGGTATATATATTGTAATAGATTTTAATTTCATCACGTCGCGTCACATAAAATGGGGTGCAGGATAGACATTTTCTACACCCCTTTCTTACCCTGGACAGCCCTATTTTACACACATGGAAATGTGAGAAATTAAATTGAATACCAGAGTAAGGATAGAACTCAGAACCGTAGATGTCGAGTCTGAACCCAGGTACAAACAACAATTCAGCCTCATTTAGAAAACAGTAGGTACTAGGCACTTTAGATGGCACTTTATTTCAGAAGCACCCTAAAACTACTGTATGAAGTTATATTATAATCATGTTTTAATAGGAAACTATATTTTGTTGTAATTTGTAGTCACAAATGCCAGACCCAAAGACGTACAGGCAACATTTTGAGAACAAGCACTCCAAGAGTCCTTTACCAGACTGTCTGAAGGAGACATCATAATTGGTATAACACAGGTACGAGGTGAGAATTTAGGGCAAGCAATACTACAGTATACCTGGAAACTTTTGCCCAGACAAATTTTGATGAGGTAAGCTTATGCCATACCGTGGCGTCCGTATGTCAACAATTTCTTTACGACTTCTACTTCCTAACCACTTATTGGAATTACCTAAATTTCGCTGGAAGCATCCCTAGGTGGTGGGGATTCAAAAATGTACAATTGGTTGGGCTGATCCCCCATAGGGCTGAGGGGCGGGGCCAAAAAAAGGTTATTTGGCTATGTTGCTTTAATCGACTTCTTTTCAATAACAAAGTGATGGATATCAACCATATTTGACTGGAAGCATCCCTAGGTGGTGGGGGTTCATAATTGTACAAATGGTGGTGCTGACCCCCCAGGGGGCTAAGAGGCGGGGCCAAAAAAAGGTTATTTGGCTATGTTGCTTTAAGCGACTTCTTCTCTGGAATTAAGTGATGGATATCAATCATATTTGACTGGAAGCATCCCTAGGTGGTGGGGATTCAAAATTGTACAAATGGTCGGGCTGACCCCCCACTAGGGCTTAGGGGCGGGGCCAAAATGGGGCAATTTGGCTATATTTCTATGAACGACTTCTTCTGTAGAACTATGCCATGGATATCCATCATATTTGGTCGGAAGCATCCATGGGAGGCAGGGATTCAAAATTTTACAGTTAAGATCCCCACACCATAACCATACATAAAACTGCTTGGCATGAAAAATCTAATACAGATATGCTACAAGGATTGGCCTTGGATTCTGGCATATTACCTTGGAGAATATTTTGCCATGATTGCTTAGATATCCAGGTGAGCGATACAGGCCCTCTGGGCCTCTTGTTCCAAGCTACAAACAAAATGATCAGCAATGTCCATGTTAACGGTAGGCCAAAATTAGCCGGGAGCAATTTGGAATGTTCCATTTTGCAAATAAGGAAGGATGTTATTAGGACAAGTTTATTTTTGAGACTTTTCCTATTGTATCAGTAGATTTATGAATCTATAGGACACATTTCTGCCATGTCAGTAAGTTTTTGCTACTCTGGTCTGGCAATGACCACCAGTGGTCCGTTGCAAGGTGACTTGTGCTGCAGGGGGCCTGTAATTAGTGTGTGTTTGTGTTTGGGAGGGGGGGCATAGTTAACAGGTGTCCGACAAGCATGTCCTTTTGAACCTATAATAATTATCTCTGGGTCCTCTTAGCATCAGGAAACTCGAAAAAAATATTCCCATACCGGTCAACAACATCCCGGAGGAGAAACTATTTCACATTTGGTACAGTCAAAACCTGGAGCAACGTTATTATAATAATAGGGCAAATTTAAATAACAATGAACTTTAACTTTATATTATACAATTGTTTAATTTTTGAGTCCAGTGAGTCCGGCTTGATAGAGCTCCTCTACACTGGACTCAAAAATTAAAAAAATGTTTTTGTATTGGAAAACTAACTTTAACTTTATTATCAGTAGATGATTGTTTAACCCAGATATCCCGTTGGTAATGGAACTTGTCAACTTTTGATAATGCTATTAAGGACAAGCATAAATATCAGCCAAAAAATCATTGTGATATTCTTGTGATTTTGAATAGAATCTAAAAGTTGCTGCTGTTTGTTATATAAAGATATAACAGATATTTAAGTTTCATGAATGTCTTTAAATTCAGTAAATGACATTAAATAAGAAATGACTCTATATATATATATGTCCTGGTATTGTTTGTGACGTCACTATGCTTGTTTATTGATGACGTCACTAAAATTGTTGACTATACAAATATTGATAACGTCATGTAACCAACGGTGATAAATAAACATCAATCCGCCTGAAGAAGCCCTAGAAGGCAGAAAGGCCTAGCGGACGATCTTAAAAGACTTGTTTTTAGCTCACCTGGTCAAAAGGACCATGGTGAGCTTATGCCATACCTCAGCGTCCGTCCGTCGTCCGTCCGTCAACTTTTCCTTTAAAACGCTACTAGTCCTGAACGGCCAAGTAGATTTTGACTAAATTTGGTCTGGAAAATTCTTAGGCCAAGGGGACTCAATTTTGTATAAATGGTAGGTGTGGCCCCCCTGGGGGCAGAGGCGCGGGGCCCAATAGGGGAAATAGAGGTAAAACCTTCAAAATCCTCCTTCTACCGTAGGGATTTTATCCTAATTTAGTGTGGAGCATCCTTGGGCCAAGGGGACTCAATTTTGTATAAATGGTGGGTGTGGCGCTCCTTGGGGCAGATAGGCGGGGCCGAATAGGGGAAATAGGTAAAACCTTCAAAATCCTTCTCCTACCCAAGGGTTTAAGGAATTTTATCATTATTAAGTCTGGAGCATCCTTGGGCCAAGGGGACTCAGTTTTGTATAAACCTTGGGTTTGGCCCCCCAAGGGCCTGAGGGGCGAGGCCCAATAGGGGAACATAGCAAATTATTCTTTAAAATCCTTCTACTTCTGTAGGAATGACAGGATTTGGTCCATATTTGGTGTTGAGCATCTTTGGGTTAAGGGAAACCAATTTTGTATAAACGGTGGGTCTGGCCCCCTTGGGGGCTGAGGGGCGGGGCCCAATATGGGAAATACAGCAAATTCTTAAAAATCCTTCTTCTTAGGAATGACAGGATTTATTCCATATTTAGTCCGAAGCATCCTTGGGTGAAGGGGTAACAATTTTGTATAAACCATGGGTCTGACCCCCCAGGGGCCTGAGGGGCAGGGCCCAATAGGGGAAACATGGCAAATTATTCTTTAGAATCCTTCTTCTGTAGGAATGAAAAGATTTGGTCCATATTTGGGGTTGAGCATCTTTGGGCTAAGGGAAACCAATTTTGTATAAACGGTGGGTCTGGCCCCCTTGGGGGATGAGGGGCGGGGCCCAATATGGGAAATACAGCAAATTCTTAAAAATCCTTGTTCTTAGGAATGACAGGATTTATTCCATATTTAGTCCGACGCATCCTTGGGTGAAGGGGTAACAATTTTGTTTAAACCATGGGTCTGACCCCCGCTGGGACCTGAGGGGCTGGGCCCTATACGGGAAATAGTGATAAAACCTTTAAAATCCTTCTCCAACAATCGTGATTAAGGTATTTTATCCTAACTTAGTCTGGAGCATCCTTGGGCCAAGAGGACTCAATTTTGTATAAGCAGTGGGTGTGGTCTCCCAGGGGGCAGTAGGGAGTGGTCAAATAGGAGAAATAGAAGTAAAACCTTTAAAATCCTTCTCCAACAATCGTGATTAAGGGATTTTATCCTTATTTAGTCTGGAGCATCCTTTGGCCAAGGGGACCCAATTTTGTATATACGGTGGGTATGACCCCACTAGGGGCATAGGGGTGGGGCTCTGTTTGAAATTTGTTATATCTCAAGTACTGGATGGATCTTTTTGAAATTTCATATGTACTTACAGCTACCATGGAGTGCTATATCTTTACTTCATACCAATTATTTTAAACATATTCAGGTGAGCGATACAGGCCCTCTGGGCCTCTTGTTATTCTATATTTTCCTTCACAAGGACTTATTTATTTATTATCTACTATATATATAATATAGATAAGAATGGATTTGATGTGTTTAATGTAGACCAGTTTTTCATACCGTATATCTATAAAGTAAAAACGAAACAGTTCATTCTCTAAATGTATGTATAAAAGATACATTTGTTATTCTGATCAAGATTTAATACATTTTATAAAATTTATCTTTTCAGATGATTAAAAGCAGGTTCCTCATTCCAGAATTTTTGTGGGATGTGAAAAGTTCCATTAAATTCAAAACAAACTTTTTCGTCATGAAGATCCTGCAAAGATATGATATTGGAATCTAGATTTTTTTTACACATTTGTAGAAATTAAGAAGAAATAAAATTTGTGTATCATGTAGATCTAGAGGATGTGGTAAAATATTGATAAAACTTTTTTTTGAAAGAGAGAGAAATAGTTTCAAGTATATACAAACAACAAACAAAATGTCCAGAAATTTGAAAAAGTGTAAGCATCCATAATTTTTAGCAACAAAGAGTTTTAATTGATTTTGACCAAAGCATGTTTCTTTTTTGCATTAATTATCAATTCCTTGATTACTTGACGTCAAATTATTGATGTTTATTCTCAAACCAAATAATTTTATTATATTAGTCAAGATGTCTGTTGTATTGTGGTTTCTGGTGAATAGTTGACATTATTATCCAATGTTTAAAACCATATTTGGAGGTTTAAGCAGAGTTGTTGTGTCAAACTTTCAACATCTCATGTAGCTTCTATTCCTAATTCCCTGTTGCCTTTTGTATAAAATGTCTGGAAGGGAAATTTCAAGTTTCTGAATAAAAAATAAATATCCTTTGTAAATTTGCTACATGTAACTTGGAAACAAAAATATTGAGTTTGTGAATCACATTTTTTTAATTTATTTGTCGAGGCAGTTTCCGTTTTTATTATTTGGATAATCTTGTACATCTTATAAAGTGTTCGGTTTTGTCAAAAGTTTTTTTTTTCAACTGGAAACACTTAATTTTTCATTTGGTTGATTTAAAGGTTGAAGTTAAAGCACATTACATGAAGAAAGTTCAGTGAAATTATAGTTAACTGAATGTTTTTAAATCTTGAAATGTGTCAAATGATAATATGCATTTTTGGGACGATGAGAAAAGGGAAAAGTGTTGAAGGTAATTGAGGAAGTAAAAACTGATGTATGATATACCCAGTATTCAGAAATGTATGTATTGTTTTGAATGGATATTCGTCATAATGAGTTCGTAAAAGGTATGAAATATTAAATTGTTGATTTCTTATAAGGTGTTGTCAGTTTAAATTCGCATCACATAATGTAAGAACATTTTGAAAAGCGCTATCGAAATTGCAATTGCATAAAGTGACTTTCAAGTAGATGTTTTTGTGAAATCATATATGCAGTATTCAGTTGTATGATGGGTCATTTTTGGAACAGTCAAATTTTTTATTCCAATCTACTGAAGAAATATGTTTCTCTGGTGACAGCGTCAGGTGAACAGCAGTTTGACTGGCAAAAATTGTCATGAAACTTATGATTTGTCATCAAAGTACGATGTTTTGGGAAATTCTACGAGTTATGAGATTCATATAGAGCTGTTCATTTAGAAACGGTTATTAAGGTTCATCCCATATGGGTAAAAGCTTCGAAGGAAACAGAAAATCTGAGAAATTGTTGCATACAAAGGACTTCGGGCATTATGGGTCATTTTTCGTCCTCATAAAAAGTAAAATTTCAAATTCATTTACGAATTTTGGAGCCATCTTTCCTGGTGCAGGAAATGAAAGCCTCTGCATGTAACGACTAAACATTTCTCTGAATGAACACTGGTATGGCAATGTTCAAGCAAATATTTGCATGTATTTGGTTGGTGCATGTGGAGGCTTTCAAAAATTGAAGAGTGTTTACTAAATTTGCTCAAAATGGCCAATTTTCAATGTAAATAGCACACCATAGGCGATATTCACACAGAACTTTATTGTGCACACAGCTTTTTTCATTTTGAACGAAACACGGTTAACTGTTTCAACAAAGAACACAAAAAGCATTTGAAAGATCATTTATATATTATAGAACATATGGAAACAATATTACGTTTCGCTACATCAACAACAAATGCTTTGTATGGTTATATTGGGATAAACTTTTATTTAATCTAGAATTTTTGTTATCTAATGTGCTTGTTTTTGTGACCGAATGAGGAAGAACATTTAAATGTGTTGTTTTATTTTTTATGTCTTGCATTTTTTTTCTCTGTAGAAACATAACTGGTTCATGCGGTATTGATTCGTCCGTTTCTTTCATTGGTAATTTTTACTTTCTGTCACTTAATGAACGTTTGGATAATGGTTTATCAAGACCTGGTTTACTTAAGGACGTGTTTAAACATAAATCTAATTAGATATATTTAAAAAAAAAAAAACCATTGGGAAATTACTATTTTGTGTAAAAAAGTTCATGGTAGGCAAATTTCAAATCAGTTCTGTGGTTGGTGCAGAGCTGATACGCTGACATGAATTTTCTGTTGGAAATTTAGGTACCTTTCATTAGATAAGGATATCTTAAAGGAAATCCCACCCCTCCCAAATTGGATATACATTCTAGTAGTTTCTAACGATGAGAAAAAACAAACTTCTTCTGTTTTCTTGACTTTAAAAGCTATTCAATTAAAATAGTTGTCATAGTTTCTAACGATAAAAACCCCCAAATTTCTTTTGTTTTCATGACTTTAAAAGCTATTCAATTAAAATAGTTAACAATATGTCAATTTGCATAGCTTAACCACTGAACTCGGATGCCTTTAACATGTTAATGCTTGATAACTTGAAGTTGAAATTATAACCTGCCAGGGCTAAATTGGTTAGCTCCTTAGCCCTTTCACCACTGCAGACCATCATGGACTCATCTAGATGAATGTATGGTAGAGTCTACTCAAGTTCTCTAGGGATGAAAGGGTTAACCTAGCAAGCAACATATGTTCCCAGCGGAAGTAGCTCGATTTCATGGGTACTTATGTAAAGAAGGGGTGTGTGAAAACACAGAGGCTGTGGGATACATAATGCTTGATAATATTCCAAAAAAGTCGAGGTTTTTGTACTAATGTATGATGCTATGATTTAGACCTGTTGTAATAAGACTTTCACTGTGAACACAGATACCGTACTTTCCCCAGATTTATTATCAGATTTTCTCAATGCGTTTTAACTCACTCACCCCTGAAGACACATTTGAGCTCTTCCAATTTAAAGGCTGGACTAGTTCATCATAAAATTTCAGGGGTGAATGAGTTAAAGTGGCTTTGAAGAGATGTCTGATTTTGAATCGTGATTTGCGTTATTGTTGGTAAGATTATTACCTCTGTGTCTGCTGAATATTTAGATATTGTTGACATATTAATATGTGTGGTCAAGGATTGTAATTTGTTTTCACTATTCATGTGCATTATAGGAGGAGAAAATGTTGCATCCGAATTCAACTGGTACCTACTGTATAATACGAAATGTTCGTGGGTACTTTCCTTCATAGTTTGAAGATTTAATATAGTTTCGTGGTACAAACTTTCCTGGAGATCCAATTTTAACAAACAGTAGATACGTATATCATTCAAATTCTTTGTATTTATTTTCGTGGTTCAAAAGTAACCACGAAAACCATGAATGTTTATACACAAAGAACATTTCATGTTATACAGTACATGTTTTGTAGGGATATAATAATATGTACACTTATATATGTATATGTAAATATGTTCAAATTGTCGTTTTGGTGGTTGATAAAATGAAACACACATTTATATTGATTGGTGTTCACTTTCCATCTATTACACAAATCTTGCCTTCAGTTAATCATTTTATCTAGGGTAGAAGTCACTCAATAAATATATGTAGGGAGGTGTTCCCACCTCTTATAATTCTTTCTGGGGCCCACTATATGAATGTTAACAATTACAACTCTGCATTTTAAACTTGCCCCTATATAATTCCAAGGTTTTTGTCCGAAATAGCCATACATCTCCCAGTCTTTATATTTCTGTTAACTGCTCTTTCCTTAATGATATAAGTATTTCTTTTGTAAATTAAATCATAATATATGCCTCTGTCCTTGTACATGTACTACATTTATCTGTACATAGTTTATGATCTTTTGTTCTGGTCTGAGGAAAGCCTAGATGAACGTGTCCTGTAATTTTTGTTGGTTTTATTTCAACACTAGGAATATATATGTTTTTTCAGTTGGTCACAAGCTCTCCAACTCTTTCACCCCTTTGTAACTTTGATAAACTCTACCATGCTTCGATGTTTCGGTCTACGGTGGTGAAAAGGTTAAAATGGTATAAATAGCTTACCACTTTTATTTTGGATTTCCAATATAATTTCATAATGTTGACAAAAAAGGAATGCATTTTTGGAAAGTTAATAAGTGTTTTTTTTTTATTGAAATGTTGTCTTGATGTTATTCCTGTAAACTCTATACACAAGTACAAATATCAAGCTATATGCACACCACAGGTACTGTTTTTTGAGAGCTTATAGGGCTCAGCCCCACATTTTGAATGCTCAAATTTTTTCTCTCCATGCAAAATAATATCTCAAAGACTTTGCTAGTAAGTTAACAGTCTCGCCTTAGGAATCTGCTGCCCCTTATCTTCAAAATACTTGGATCAACAACTGGACCGAAGACCAATATTGAAAAATTCAGAATATGAAATAGGATTTGGAAGACCAATATAGCCAGTATTGAAAGAAGGCAAGGTTGTATATCGAATGTAAAGTTTGTCAAGCTGGCGTTTGTAGGCGGTAGAGTTTGTCAAGCTGTCGTTTGTAGGCGGTAAAGTTTGTCAAGCTGTCGTTTGTAGGCGGTAAAGTTTGTCAAGCTGGCGTTTGTAGGCGGTAAAGGTTGTCAAGCTGTCGTTTGTAGGCGGTAAAGTTTGTCAAGCTGTCGTTTGTAGGCGGTAAAGTTTGTCAAGCTGTCGTTTGTAGGCGGTAAAGTTTGTCAAGCTGTCGTTTGTAGGCGGTAAAGTTTGTCAAGCTGTCGTTTGTAGGCGGTAAAGTTTGTCAAGCTGTCGTTTGTAGGCGGTAAAGTTTGTCAAGCTGTCGTTTGAAGGCAGTTAAGTTAAGCGGTTGGGTAAGTAGGTAGCAAGCAGTTCAGTTGTTTATGTTTCAACACATTTCCTTTATTGGTGCATTTTGTCAATAAAAAGGTATTTTATATTGTTGAAGTTTTATGTTTGATTTGTGCCGTGGTACGAAGGGATGTGAGCTGATATGATGCTGCAATGTCCACCATAGATGTGCATCCCTTGTCCATCAATCGTAAGCACTTCCTTAAAAGTGATTTCTGCAGAACCATGCGTTATTTTTAAGTCTTCATTTTTTGTCTGTAGCTTACTGTTGACAAAACAATGATTTCGATCCATTTTTCATGGCTACAGGTAAAGTTGGAAAAAACTTGTTTACAATAACAGGACCAAGAGTCATGGCACAAGAGTTGTTGATCGGTGTCAGGTAAAATAATCTGACCAATCACTAGGTTGATACTTGTCCTTATCGGATTACAGAGGAGCGACACCTGACGAGAAAATGATTTTTTCTTTCTTTTGTTTTCATGACTTTAAAAGCTTTTCAATTGAAAAAGTTAACGATATGTCAATTTGCATAGCTTAACCACTGAACTCGGATGCCTTTAACATGTTAATGCTTGATAACTAGGTATGTGCGAAGGAGTTAAAATTATAACCTGCCAGGGCTAAATTTGTTAGCTCCTTCGCCTAGCAACATATGTTCAACTTCACTCACTTAAGTAGACTTACATAAATTGCATGTGTCATTTTGTATATGTAAGTTAACTTTGATTAGTAAGAAAACATCGCAGGACCTCACTTCAGCCACGGGCGCTGAGCACATATCATATGGTACATATAATATACAGTATTTTACTATTAATATCTTATACTTATAGCATATAAAGGTTGTCCTGCACCTATTAATTTACTTAAGATTAAGGGATATTTGAAATAGCATGTAAGTTTGAGCTATGTCCAAAAGCCATAACTCTGTGTAATGCAATTTATGTAAGTCGACTTAAATGAGTGAAATTATAAATTTCAAGTCAAAATATTAATTAGAAAGGAAATTATTGAGAAAACAAATTACTTTACAATTGAAAAGAACCAAAAAGAACCCCCGACTTTAACCTTTTTTTATTTAAACAATCTTTAAGACGATTGAATTTTTGTCATTTTTCATTCTGTTACGTATGCTTGTCTAATTTATACATGTTTTCAAAAACAGAAATGGTATTATTTTAGTTTTTAAGCTCATTTTGATAACAGCAAACTATATTTGTGATTTAACCTACCCCTTTTGGTACCCCCATAAAACCACTTTCGGTCGAAGTTTTACATTAGTTTTTTTGCATGTAATAATACAATGGGACATCTTTGAACAAAATAAGAAGATGAAAATCCGAATATACCTGGGCCCAAAAAAGGGCTTTATAAACATTCATCCTGTGACCTTGAATAAAGGTCAAGGTCATTTCTTTTCGTAAACTTTGTCAGGCTTCATCTAAGGAACCTACCAGCCAAATATCATGACATTTCGTCTGTTGGTTATTGAGAAGAAGTCATTTAAAGGAAAAAGTTGACACCAGAAACATCAGGGGACTTTGAAGTCAAACAAAATATTCTACCGTTCTGGTACGGAATGATCTGACAAAACAACAGAGGGAAAAGGAAAAAGAATTGATAAAAGAAGCAAAACAAAAAGAAGACAATGAACCACTTTGTATACAGAGTCTGTGGGCGACCCTGGAACAGAAAAGTCGTACGCCTTCACAAAATCCACTAGTCTTTGTATACAGAGTCCGTGGGCGACCCTGGAACAGGAAAGTCGTACGCCTTCACAAAATCCACTAGTCTTATGAATATTTAACCATCTGTTGAACATTCTGTGATTTACTATTTGTTTCCGAATTCACTATATCACACTTTTTTTTTTTAATATTTACTGTACATAATACAGTACTGCACTTACTGTGTACATAGAATTTGATTCATAGAATAATTTCAAGTGTATGTGTATCAAGATATGGACATAGAGGCGTTTGTTTGTCTACATCCATCAATTAACTGATGATGGAACAACAGGCTACTAAGAGACCCACTGAATGAAATGATTATATGATCAGTAATTAATGTAAGAAACCTAGCCTTCTGCATACACATTTTCAAAATTCTCACTTTCCCTATGACTCTGATTACATGTATAAGGAAATTGCTTATTTTAATAAATCTAAATAAAAAGTCTTTATCTGTAAATTAACTAGAAAAATAACAGGTCAGCAAGGGCCCGCCATGTGGCTGTATTTCCCCCTTAATCATCAAGAAGCCAATTGGCCAATATCGCTTAGGTTGCATTTGACATTTGGACCTCAAAAACAATCGCAAGGAAGCAAAATATACATTAAACATGTACTATGATGTGACAGTTGCTTCCTTCAGGGCAAACTAATGGAAATGTAAATACGTGTACCAATATAATACTCATTCGTAAACTTTGATTTGTTTGATTTGAACCTTAAATACCTTCCCACTAACAGTCAGGTTATTTTGTCACATGTCGACTTTGTCCTTGGCCTTTGGATCCAAATGACCTTAACCTTTAAATCGGTGACCTTGACTTTTGGTCAGTTGACTCCTCTTTTAATTCTGACCTAATTTGCTCCATCATGCAATAACAAAAGTTTGAAATAATACTAAATTTGATCTTAACCTTTAACTCGGTGACCTTGACTTCTGGTCAGTTGACTCCTCTTTTAATCCTCACCTAATTTGCTTCATCATGTCATAACAAAATGTTTATCAGTGAAATGATACCAAATTTGACCTAGGATGCATGGGAAATTATCCTGTAAAATTTTAAAAACATACTCCTTTTACTTCCATCAATATTGTGCCAAAAAAATAATGACAGACAGATGGACAAAAAGATGGACAGACTGACAACCTGACTACCATAGGGCACCTGCATCTTCGATGCGGGGCCCTAATTAGCCAATTGTTATACTTTCTATGACTTTTGGTTAATCAGAATAAGTGGTTCAAAGGTTTTAACGAATTTGATCATGTGACCTCGAATATTGGCGAAGGTCATTTCTTCTCACAAACTTGTCAGGCATCCCAGGAACCTGCCAGCTAGAAAAAATTCATAACTATTTGCCTCTTGGAAAAGTTGATGCCAGATCGTTGATGGACGACAGGCCACCAGGACTTAAAATCACTCGGCCCCTTGGGCAAGGTGCGCTTAAAATTACCTGTGTAAAAGTTATATCTGATTTGAATCGGTGTTAACAATTAGCAAAATGTTCTGTAAATCAGATTTTAAACAAGAGGCCTATATAGCTAGCGGCCTTGACGGTCACCTGAGGTAAGCACTTTTGAATGCAACCGTTATCAGGGGAAGCAGCTTTCAACACCCTCCCCAGGGGGAAATGTCAGACCCTGCATGGGGTCATGAAATTCACAATTTTGGTATAGTACCGACTATTCCATCTATGAAGAGTATTTTAGTCTTATATATAGGTGTCGAGAAGAAGATTTTTGAAGTTCAAATCAATTTGAGGCCTTTTGGCCCCACCCATCAGCCAGGGTCGATATGTACATATCATCAAACTGTCATACAGTACTAAAATTATAACCATGTTTGAATGATTTCCAATGGAAAATGAACAAATTAAAACAAAAGGCCAAACAGCTTGTATTGCTTGAGCAGTCAAAGCAAATATTCTCATTAAATATTATATTGTTCTATAAAAATTTCCCTCGCAAACTTTGTCAGCTCCGTCAGTTGAAACTACCAGTCAAATATTATTATAAGATTGTATGCTTTTTGGTTCTTCTTCAGAAGTTGTTTGACATATTTTTCCCTGTGACCTTGTAAGTAGGTCACTGTCATTTTCCTTCTCAAACTTTGTTGGCTATATCCCAAGAAGCTACCAGCCAAATCTTATGATCCCACTTCTTTTGGTTCTTCAGAACAAATCAGTCAAAATTAAAATTAGCCTGACTTGACAAAACCCTATTATTGAATTTTAAACCCATTTTAATTAGCTATGTATAAAGTATTGATTATTCCAATGGAATTCCACTGAGTTTTCCAATAAAAAGTCACTGGAAAATTGGCACTGGTATTCCACTGGAAAACCACTGAAATTCAACTTGAATGCAAGTGAAATTTTCTGTAGAGATGTGATCTTGATATAGGTCAAGGTTATTTTCATGAGGAAAAATACTCCATCCAAGGTACTTACTGCTCCATATAGGACCTGAATGCAAAGTAACAGTTGCTAGATGCTAAACCATGGCATACAATACTATTTAAAAAAAAATATGTACAGTATTTTAATATACAAATATATGAATTGACATATATTATGACCATATAAAAACATGAATCAATACAATCACAAATTTTGCCATAAATATGTCATGAAATATACAATTTTCAGAAATGACTGAGAAAATTCATTTAAGTGATATTGAGAAGTAACAAGAGGAAATGAATACAGGTAATGGTAAAGATAATGTATTAATATATACATATTAATAGTATACAACGAGTACAGACCAAGTGTACATTTATACAAGTAGCTACCACAGGCTAGTAACATTTCTTTTCAACAATGTCTAATATTCACTATTTTAGTCATGAATATGATTGCATGGTAAATATAGAACTGACAATTTTCAATCAAGAAGAGTAGCATTATATTTATACATTAGTTCCTGTTTCTCAATGGTGGAAAATATAGCATGGCTAAAATTACAAAAGATATAAGGAATGAAATGGTGAAAAATCTGAGAGGTGAAATAAACCTGTTATACAATTTTACCATCCACCAAAAGTAACAGGTGATTATAATTACCATGGATTAGCTTTAACCTCTAGACAATCTGCCATACCTCAACTGCATACATATTCATGTACTAACATAAAACTTATTGACCCTTTCACTCCTATGTAACTTTAGTAGACTCTACCATGCATTGATCTGGATTAGTCCATTATGGTCTACAGTGGTGAAAGGGTTGATTGCATACTGTACAGCTAAAAAGGTTGTCCACATGGATGAAAATAGACAAAAAACTACATACAACAAGGTCCATAACACACTGATCATGATGAGGTATTTGGGTGTATGACTTCTTTAGTCA